TATGTGGGGCTGCCTTTGAAGATGGTCCAGCAACTGCAACTGGTCCAGAATCAAGCTGCATGGCTGGTGAGTGGTGGGGCCGCTAGGGGACATATCAAGCCGATTCTGATTAAATTACATGGGTTACCAGTTGCTGCCCAAGCCCAGTTCAAAGTCCTTGTTTACCAATTCCACATTCCAAAACAGTGGACATTTTCTTGATGGCTTTCCTCATTGCCAGCTCTGAGTCTTATGCATTGACTCATGTTTCTCCTTACTATGTTGTTTGAGCAAGGATCTGAATAATAGCTAGTATTGATACTTCTCTCTTGGCTCACAGTACTAAAAGGATTTGTTCACTATTTCCTGAGTGCTACTTCATCCCTAAGTCCTGCAATCACACTAAAGGTAACTCTGTGTCTGGGTTACACTATTTAAAATGAGAAGTGAACAAATCTGTTGGCTTTGTTTTCTGATCTCAGATCCTTTTCACAAAACTCAGATCCTTCCATTTAGAAAATTTCATAAAACTTGCAAATCTTTGTAGGTCCTTATTACAAAACAAACAAACAAACAAACAAACAATTTCCTTTCAATCTTTTATGCCTAACATGTTTCTCCATCCTCTTCTTTATTTTTGAAGGCATATTGAAAAGTCTTTGGGCCTCTTTTTACTTATTTATTTTTGTTATTAGCTATTCTATAAAATACAAACAGTAAAAAACTGTCATTGTAAGATAATACTTATCACAGAACTGTTATATGCACATAATAAATTCAGTTGTTCCAGTAAATTTACCGTATTTGCTGGCGTATAAGTCTGGGCATATACAGTAAGATGACCCCACAAAATTTCCACTCAAAATATAGAGTTTGTTATATACTCACCGTATAAGCCTACCCCTCTTCCGCACACCTTCCCCACAGCAAATAAAAGGTGCTATTCATTGTCACCATTGTACGGCCGCAGCACGATTGCAGTGCCTCCGACCCACCCCTGCATCTCCCTGTGACCGGCAGTAGTGCTCAAGTGCATGTGTGAGCTCTGCGTAGACAAGGGCCGGGCTGGAGCGCTGCTGCTTCCCGCTGAGCAGAACAGGCCAGTCACGTCAAAAAGGCTGGCACCCCTGTCTTGCTGCTGATGCTTGCCGCGGCCGTGCTGGATATCGCGTGATACTGGATGGTATGTAGAATGAGGTGGGCAGGCATCGGGAGGCTACTATGGGCACTGGGCGAGCATCGGAAGGCCGACATGGACAGCTATGTCTATCCCAACTGAAGTGCACCCGGCATATAAGATGACCCCCCACACACACTTGGAGGCATGTTTTTCAGGGCAAAAAAGTAGTCATATGCCAGCAAATACAGTATTCTGTATTTTGGAAAATGTAAAACAGGCACAAAGACTGTTCAATATACGGTGGGGTCTTGACTTAAGAACGGCTTGAGGTAAGAACATTTTGACTTAAGAACCGCTCTCATAGGAAAATATTGACTTGACTTACATACTTAGATTTGAGTTAAGAACTGAAAAAAACCCACGTGGGAGTCAGGGAAAGTGCAAAATTTGAACTTTCAATTAACTGTTGGCCAGTGAAAAGGGTGCCTGTCTGCTTCCTCACTCCTCCCAGCGTTTAGAGAGTGGATTGGGAGACAGTCTTCGGACTGCCTGGTACTGTACTGCCTGGACTGTATTTTCCCTGCCTTCCCTGAACCTTTCTTGACCTAAGAAAAAAAGAAACAAAGTATCCCCCTCTAGTGGTCGAAGGCAGAATAGCAGCTTCCCATTAGTTTCTATGGACGGAAAAGAGCAGATACGGATCAAATGGTTTTCAATGCATTCCTATGGGAAATGCAGATTTGACCTGAGAACTTTTTGACTTGAGAACCACCTTCCAATACGGATTAAGTTCTCAAGTCAAGCCCCCACTGTACCTTGGTATTATTTATCTATATTTTGGAAAATGTAAAACAGGCACAAAGGCTGTTCAATATACCTTGGTATTATTTATCTGTTTTTTACATTTACATTCTGTCTTTCCTTAAATACGCTCAAGTAGCCACTCTCCCTTTATATCCATGAACCACTGTATCACACAAACTGAAATATAGTGACTGGCTTAAGAGAATCCAATGGTTTTCACTGCTGAATGGAAACTCAAACCCAGGTTTCCCCATCAGTGGGCCTGTTGCTAGTTCTTGTCTTAGGCCTCCTTTTTCCTCCACTCAGTGGTGGCTGGTAAGATGATCCTCTCATATACCTGATACTTCTGAGAGTTGGATGGAAAAAAGAAAGAATATACTTCCTTACTAAGAACTGTTCCATGGTGATGGTGGTGGTAGAAATGGACAACAAGAGGTGGTTCAGAACTTACAGTTCCTGACTAGCCCAGGCTGCACGAGTGGCAGTAGAATATATCTGCCAGTGACCTTCTGTAACTACTGCTGCTGAACTGGGCTTCACTCAGCTTTATGTTTTTTGGCCTGTTGGCTCACTCTTCTTCCTCTCTTCTGAAAGCCAATCCCCATTAAATTCCCTCCATGTGCACATTTCCTTTGTGACATCATCACCAATCAACCAATAGGTGCTAGAAGCATTATTGTCACCCCATGATGCTTAAGTACATTACACCATTGATTTTGCCAGCAGCCCTATTATTTTCAGGTGACAGAAATATTCAGTGGCTACCAGTGAATCCTTAGTTAAAAGGACTGTGTTTCAAAGAAGGAGTTCAATGGAAATCAGGGAAAGAAAATTCAGTTGTGGAAGAATCAACAGTAAGTAAAACTCTGCAAAATATATCACACAGAAACTGATTTTAGCTCAGTTGATGTTGAACGTTAACTATAACAAAGGATCATTCTTCTATTGTTTCTGTGAAATATTGCCTGGAGATCCATCCCTATATCTCACCAAATCACATGAGTGAGTGTGAATAGCTTTCTACAAGACTGATTATGCTATTGATTACATCCTGCCATTTTGCAATCTTGAATGGATGAGTTGGAAGATAAAGATAACAGATTTTGAAGAAAAATGAACACTAGATCTTCCAAAAACCTAAAAACGTATCATATTGTGATATATACAAGAAGTTGTTTTATTCAGAAAGCACAACAGAGAGGGGAAAAGGATTATTGTGAAATTGTGTATGTAAATCAACATAGTTTCTCTTGGGGAAGAAGATATTGCTGGGCTATACTTCTGCCTGTCCCTGGTCATTGGATTTGTCCAAATAAATAAGTCAGATCAATGAGTCCACCAGATAAACAGTGTGAAGTGTCCTATCTATCTGCTACTACCAACCAGCGAAGACATATTCACATCACTCTCATTGAAGACCAACTTAGCAAGCCGAATCACTCTTTTTCCCATTGTCCAAAGTGCATATTGTACTAAAAGTGTTTTTAACTTAACTGTTTAAAATTGACCATTTATATATATCTTTAGAAAAAGCAGCTGGGACTGGATTCTCACCCATCCCCTGCCCTTGTAGATGGGCAGTATATAAGTTAAATAAATAAATAAATAAATAAATAAATAAATAAATAAATAAATAAATAAATAAATAAATATTGACACTGCAGTTTGTGGGAGGTTTACGTAACTATTTTCTCTCATGCAGTTTTCTTGCCAGAACTTGACCACTGAAGTAGCTATTTGCCCTGAAGATATTATTGTATCAAAGAGGAAATGAACAGAGTATGAAAACCTTGATGTTATCACAAAGATGTTAATGTTTAATTGTCAAAAGGCATTTGATTTTCCAGTAGAATAAGAAGGAAAATGCAAAATTAATTTATTGTATTAACTAAGCAAAATAGATAAATAGTTAAATTAAACAATTTTTAATGGAGGAGTATTTCATGTTCCACCCTCACAAAAGAAACAAGTTAAAATAATATGAAAGTTTAGTCATTACTCAAAGAAGTAACATGCTTCTTGTATAGTAACTAAAATAATGAATTTACATTAACTATTTATAACATTTTAAGAACTGAAGATAATTACTCAATTATTTGTAATTAATTATTTGCTGGATCTGGAAATTAGGAGGGGGAGGGAAGTCCTGAAAGAACAAGTGAAGGAGTTGAGGCAAAAAATATGAGCTGCAATGTTCTTTGAAGCCTGGGAGTGGTTAATGATTTAGATCTTGTACCTTTGGGGACAAAAGCTTGAGGACTGGAATGATGGGGAAGCTCAGGATTTTAAAAATCAGTATCAAAATTCTTTAGTCTGCACCGTGACCAGTAAGTATTCTATTGCAACTCCGACAAACACACAGAGCTCTGTGTGATTTCTGGATTGTCAAATATATTGCAGGGAGCTTATGATCGTGTGAAGAGATACCAAGCCTGGAGAAAGCCCAGCCACATGAGCAATGGCAGACTAGACTAGACTTTTAATTGTAAGTGTGTCAGGATCCTAGAAACTGATGCTCCTATTTCTGATGCATTTAAGAGCTTCCTTCGAGATGTATCTTGAAATACATATTTTATAATGTGTAGTTCCAGAACACAGAAGCATACATGTGGGCACACACAGAGACACACGTAAACGAAGTTGAGGCTATCCTCTTGTACCCACCATTTCATTATTGCTTTAGATGCAGCTTTCCACCCATTTATGCAACCGTGAGGGATAAACAGACACTCCGAGGACTATTCTAGGGTAGAAAAGCAGGGTAGAAATATCATCATCACTATGACAACTATCCAAAAATCACAGTTTTTTAAAAAAATTGGATTTGATAGCATCTAAGATAAACATATACAATTAAACTTGCTATTGTGGTGCTTACTGGTAGCTGACTCGCATGCTGTTATCCAAGGGCCATCTTCCTCCCTTCCATCTGTGTCTCCCCCTCCCTGTTCACAAATAGCATTCAGGGCTTCCTTCGCTCTTTTATCTTCCACCACCAATCCCTTTTTAAGCAGCCACTTCAAAAGGCTCTTTGCTTACTTATATCATAAACATCATTTTCTTTTGCCCTCAGGATACTATCAATCCAGGAAAAAGACACCAGTGCATTGTTGTCAGGGACACAGATGGCTGAAATGTATACATCTATTCCATTTTGCTGAGCAGTTTTAATGTGGGCAAAGGTAACCCCAGCCTAGAATACACTACATGTAAATGAAAAGGGGGGCAGGGGGGGGAGCCAAGCAGGCATACTTCTATTATGAAGGAACAGGAAGCACCTGGCATTCAAAGCAATAATCTTAAATTGCCAGGAGTTCCTGCCTTTGCTGAACCCACTTAGGAAGAAAGGTGCATGTTAAAATTACCCTTCATAAATGAATAGGTGAATTATGGGATTATACCACTGACCGTCCGTGTACGTCATAGAACCACATAGTCCCCATGCATTACAGAATCCATTTTTAACACAAATTTGTTTTTTCCTCTCTCTCTCTCTCTCTCTTCCTCTTTCATTTTCCTCATCTCTTTCCCCTCCCCTTCCACTGTCACCTTTTTTCATTTTCATTGTTCTTCCTCGGTTATTTATTTGAAAGCCATTTTCTTTCCCTTAAAATAATTCTCCCGATGGTTTTGGTGTTCCAAAAGTGACCCAGCATTGCTTGGACTGCAATTGACTTGCCATCATGACCCACCAGCTTACAATTAATTTTCAGAATGCAGTACGAGAGGGAGAGCGGGGGACAGGGGGAAGCAGAGGAGCTTCCAGAAGGAGTCAGGAAGGATGAAAAGGGAGGAGCAAATAATAATGATGTTCACTTTGCCAAAATGTTGAATCTCTTCCTGCCAAACAGTTTGGGTATCAGCACAGTGCCAACAGTGCCGATTCCATACATACTACTTGAAACCTGACTGGGGAAAAGGAAAAGGGGAATCAAAAGTGTCACTTTTCAATCAAGAATACCATGTGGTGTGTGTGTTGTGGCAATACATATTGGCCTTCCTCGGATGCTTATAAGGGGTTTACCAATAAAAAGATGAGAATTGAGGGATTTGTTTGTTTGTTTGTTCATTTGTTTCAAATATTTTTACCCCACCTTTACACCATCTTTCTCCTTAAAGGGGACCCAAGGTGGCTTGCACCATTTAAAGGCAATATTTAAAACTAAAAACAGTAACTATACAAATATTTAAAAGGATCAGACAAATACCACATAAAATACAATAAATGAAAGCAATACCAAAAACACATTTAAAGCAGCAATCCATTTAAAACCTCACTCAGGCAGCCAGCTCCATGGGAGGGAGTCCGTCGTTTAGTCGTTTAGTCGTGTCCGACTCTTCGTGACCCCATGGACCAGAGCACGCCAGGCTTTCCTATCGTCCACTGCCTCCCGGAGTTGTGTCAAATTCATGTTGGTTGCTTCGATGACACTGTCCAGCCATCTCATCCTCAGTCGTCCCCTTCTCCTCTTGCCCTCACACTTTCCCAACATCAGGGTCTTTTCCAGGGAGTCTTCTCTTCTCATCAGATGGCCAAAGTATTGGAGCCTCAGCTTCATGATCTGTCCTTCCAGTGGGCACTCAGGGTTGATTTCCTTTAGAATTGATAGGTTTGTTCTCCTTGCAGTCCAGGGGACTCTCGAGAGCCTCCTCCAGCACCACAATTCAAAAGCATCAATTCTTTGGCAGTCAGCCTTCTTTATGGTCCAGCTCTCATTTCCATACATCACTACAGGAAAAACCATAGCTTTGACTATGCGGACCTTTGTCGGCAAGGTGATGTCTCTGCTTTTTAAGATGCTGTCAAGGTTTGTCATCACTTTCCTCCCAAGAAGCAGGCATCTTTTAATTTCGTGGCTGCTGCCACCATCTGCAGTGATCATGGAGCCAAGAAAGTAAAATCTGTCACTGCCTCCATATCTTACCCTTCTATTTCCCAAGAGGTGGTGGGACTAGTGGCCATGATCTTAGTTTTTTTGATGTTGAGTTTCAGACCATTTTTTGCACTCTCCTCTTTCACCCTCATTACAAGGTTCTTTAGTTCCTCCTTACTTTCTGCTATCATAGTGGTATCATCTGCATATCAGAGGTTGTTGATATTTCTTCTGGCAATCTTAATTCTGGCTTGGGATTCCTCCAGTCCAGCCTTCCGCATGATGTATTCTGCATATAAGTTAAATAAGCAGGGTGACAATATACAGCCTTGTCGTACTCCTTTCCCAATTTTGAAC